ATTGTATTCGAACGTTTTGCGCACTCAAGTTCACCACAGAAACATTCAACATCCAGATTCAGCAATGAAATTGCAAAGGAATATAGAATGTATACCTGCCAGTGGTGAAATACAATTTCTGCGTAAGCCAGTCCAGTTTCATGTCCGAAATGTGTCGAACCGGCTCAGCAAGTTTGTTCTTTGTGGGTCCAAAAACGAGCCTAAATTTCTCAAAAACTACAAGTGCTGAGAGAAATATTGAATATTTGAAAAGGTTTTGAATGATTCAAAGTATTCGCTCTCTGTGAGAAGCAGGGACATTTAAAATTGTCCGAGTGGTAGCAAATGCTAACAACAATGACCGTTGGTAAGGCTGTTGATGATTCTTTCATTCGAGCGCTGCTTACAAGCATGGAGACAACGCATCTTTTCCTGGCTCTTTTTTTGATTATTTGTAAAATGCTTATAATTTTTTTTTTTTTTTGATTAATAAATGGTAAACAAAAAATAATCTACTTTCTTCTGAAAGAACAAGGACAATCAGTCTTTCTCAGATTTGATTTATTTGTTTCATTGGAAAAATGGTGCTGGAGCAAGCCAGGGAGTGTAAACACCGCGATCAGCTTGATTGTAAGCAACCCTCGGAAGAGCAAAGAAAGGCTTTTTGGAATTAACGCGTTATTTAGGATAATTTGGCAAGCTCAGCATCACTAATGTTTGAAATATACGAAACGAAACCTGCGCTTATCTGGCTGATTCATCGGAAACCAAGAAATATTTGCGCCACCGGGTGACTCAGTGACCATGTAGATGCGTCGCAAATTGACATCGACATCGAAGCTTTGCAAATTCTCGATTCGTGGCAATGCTTCTTTCAGCGGATTGGACGCCTTTACATCCGGCTCAATGGGTGCGTCTACTACATGCTCGCCATCCGCAAACATTAAGTATGTATCAGGTTCTGCAATTTTCTCACTTATTTCCCGAGTCTAGGAATAGGCGACTTGACGCGCAGAGCTCCTTCCCAAAGTATGTGAGAGTTAATTCACATTCATTTACCTGCATAAACAAATTGCAAATGCGCCTTTTTTCAGCCAGGAGAATTTTGTCTGTTTTCGTAGGGAGTGAGAAAATAATTCTGTTGCATCAAATTTTTTACGCAATAATAATCGAATAAGGTTTTGCCACAAAAAAAAATCACTGGTGACGCGCACCGGGCGAATCCGTGCGATCATGCGTTTTTGCAGTATTTCGTACTGTAATGAGGTCGCTCGGAAACCCAGTAGCTAGACTGAGTGAAATACTGGTGCTCGAAGTTCAGGAAGTTAATTATTACGCGGTACTTGGAACAATGCGTCAAAATTTCAGTTTCCTGGCTTTCCCAGTTCCCGAGTTAGCCATTTCCCCGCTAAAAATTTACATGAGGCCATAATTGAAAACCGGGGCTGAATTCGATAAATTCATGTTGTACATATGTTCCCAGCATCCCCTGAAAATTTCAGCCTCTCAGCTTTCTTGGTTCCCGAGTTAGCCATTTTCCCACCAAAAATTTTCCTGAGGCCATACTTGAGAACCCGCATATCTAGGTGCTGAGTTTGATAAATTTATGCTGTACATGTGCTGCAAACACTCATTGAAAATTTCAGCCTCCCAGCTTTCCTGGTTCCCGAGTTAGCCATTTTCCCACCAAAAATTTTCATGGGGCCATACTTGAGAACAAAGCAAACCGAGGGGATGAATTCGATAAATTTATGTTGTACATAATGCGAACATTCTCTGAAAATTTCAGCCTCTCAGCACTGCTGGTTCCCGAGCTACCACTTTCCCGCCAAAAAATTTCACTGAACCATACCCGATAACTACGGATGCCTGTGGGCCGCATTTGCTAAATTTAAGTTGTACGTTTGCTGGGAACATTCCCTGAAAATTTCAGCCTCATAGTTTTCCTGGGTCTTAATTTAGCGATTTTTCCGCCTTCAGGAAACTTCTTGGGGCCGTACGTGAGAATCACGCATGCCTGGAGGTTGGATTTGAAATTTTTTTGTTCTATGCGGACGGGGAAAATAACTGCGAAGTTTCAGCTTTCTAGCTTTTCTGGTTCCCGAGTTAGAGATTTTCCCTCCAAAACTTTCATTCTCTCGTACGCGCGGCTCAGACTTGCCTGGGAATTGGCATCGCGGTTCTGGCCGGGGAAGCCGCAGGCAAAATTTTTGTGCCGGAGGTTGCTTAGGTGTCGAGTTTAAATACCCGGACAGACACACACACATACATACACAAACGCACACCATGGGTCGTCACAATGTGTGTTTTCGCATTTGCATATATGCAAAAACGCATAAAAACTGACAATAATAATTGTTCAAATATGCAAACCTTCACAAGATCTTCCTTTCAAGATACCACGAGCACAAGCACAAAGCGGGCTTTGACTGCCCGGTGATGAGAAACATAATTGTGCGCAAGGTGTTTTCCTCAGATTATCCGTAATCTGACATGGTGATGTAGCTTTTGGCTGTGCCGATTCATCGAACACAACAACGTTGCCGAGATCTGCTAAACCAGCAGCGATTGTTGTCGGCGACAGTAAAATCGATGTCTGATTGGGTCGGCTATAAAAAAAACATTTTATGGACAATGAATACTGCAAACTAGAAGTGTGTAGTGCATTCGACCTCTGGCGCATTGCAACCTAAGCTCCGGTACGGACGCAAAACTGTCGATGATTCCCTCTTCCAAGACCTGCTTCAAGAAGAAGCTG